ATATATACATATATATGTATATATAGTCGATGTGTCCTCAAACTATTATGTAGAATACTGTTATTTACATCACATCACGTGAGCCCTTTCAATGGCTGAACACTTATTTTGGTGCGATCCATAAAGCTTTCCTGGGAACTAAGTACACCTAAGAACAATTCAGTATAAAAGAGTTACTGCCTTGACAGGAAGATGCAAAAATTTTTTAAAGACAAATAAATAAATAAAAGAGTGAAAACTGTAGCTCTGTGAGACTCAAATAACATCTCATTCAAGTCACAATGAACATCTAGCAATCATTCTGAACACCACATAATTCACTTAATACATTTTGCCTGAACGCCCAACACATCTGAATGACCAACACCTGTATGTAGCCAAGAAACTGACAATCATTTTTAAATTATCACCTATGACTCCATCGGCTCTACGCACTTACTTTTTAAATGTTATTCATGTATTTGTTATTTTTATTTTTTGTAGAGATGGGATCTCACTATGTTACCCAGGTTGGTCCAGAAACAGAAACAGACCCACACTAATTTCAGAAATCAGATGACCATACAGTCATTCGATTTATGAAAAAAAGTGCCACACGATGCAGGAGGAAAAGGATGGTCTTTTCAATAAATGGTGCTGGATCAAGCAGACACATCCATGTTGTAAATAGTGAATCATAGCCAAGTGGGGTGGCTCACGCCTGTAATCCCAGCACTCTGGGAGGCTGAAGGCGGGCAGATTACTTGAGCCCAAGAGTTCGAGATCAACCTGGGAAACATGCTGAATCTCCATCTCTACAAATACGAAAATTAGCCAGGCATGGTGGCGCACGCCTACACTCGCAGCTACTCAGGTGGCTTAGGTGGGAGGATCACTTGAGCCAGGAGGTGGAGGTTGCTGTGAGCTGAGATCCTGCCACCGCACTCTAGCCTGCGCAATAGAGTGAGGTCCTATCTGGGGGGAAAAAAAAAATGCAAAAACTAAAATAAAATTGCTGTAAGGTTAACACAAAAAAATGTGTTCATACTCTTAGGTTAGGCATTGATTCCTTAAACAGGACACAGAAACCAGTAACCATAAAGGAAAAGATTGATAAAGTATAATTTCATTAAAATTAAGACGCTCAGGCCGGGTACAGTGGCTCATGCCTATAATCCCAACACTTTGGGAGGCCGAGGCAGGTGTATCACTTGAACCTAGGAATTCCAGACCAGCCTAGGCAATGTGGCAAAACCCTATCTCTACTAAAAATACAGAAAAGAGCTGAGTGTGGAGGTGCTCCCCTGTACGTCCCAGCTACTTGGGGGCTGAGGCAGGAGCATCACCTAAGCCTTGGGAGGTCAAGGTTGCAGTGAACTGTGATCATGCCACTGTACTCCAGCCTGGGCAACAGAGTGAGAGCCTGTCTCAAAAACAAACAAACAAACAAAAAGCTAGAGTATCTCCATCATGAAAAAACACCATTAAAAGAGTAAAAAGGCAAGCTACAGATTGAAAGAAGGGAAATGCAATACATATATATCCTAGAAAGGATGCATATCCAGAATAAAGGATTACAAATCAACAGAAAAACAAGCTTATCAAGGAAAACGGGATAAAAAGATTTAACAGGCCCTTCACAAAACAGGACATATAAATGGCAATAAAAGACACTCAATCTCAATGAAACCACACTGATACATTACTGTACCCCTACTAGAATGGCAAAATAATTTTTAACTGACAGGCATCAGCAAGGACGTGGGGAAACCAGAATATCCCTTTTAAATGGTACAACCATTTTGGGAAAATGTTCAACAATATGTAACACTAAAGTTTTATCATTCATATACCTCTAAAACCAACAATGCCACTCCTACAAATATACCCCAGTCTAGTACTGTTCTATTTCTTGATCTGCAGTGGTTTACTTGGTAAAAATTCATTACCTTTTGGTTTTTTGTTTTGTTTTTGTTTTTGAGACAGGATCTCACTCTGCCATGCAGGTCGGAGTGCAATGCCATGATCATGGCTCACTGCAATCTCAGCCTCCCGGGCTCTGGTGATCCTCCCACCTCAGCCTACTGGGTTAGGATCCCACCACACACAGCTAACTTCTGTATTTTTAGTAGAGATAGGGTTTTTCCACATTGCCCAGGCTGGTTTGGAAATCCTGGGCTCAAGTGATCTACCCACCTTGGTGTCCCAAAGTGCTGGGATTACAGGTGTGCTCTACTGTGCCTGGACCACCTGCACATTTAAAATTGTGAACTTCTTCTGTATACTTCAGTACCTTTTCAAAGATTTCTTTGACACAAAGTTCTCAGAAATCTTAAAGCTAGCATTTCAGAATAGAAAAAAACAGCTCCTGGTTCACTGCTGAAATTTTACTAATAAAATTTAAAAACAAAAAGAAAGCTACTAACGCATATCAGTCCCGAACAAAGATTAAACACTACCAGTAGGTATTTCTTTAACTTCGTGACGCACTGGGATTCATTCTTTCGGCAAAGAAAGGATGAACACTGTAACCCAAAGAAAAGAAAAGACTTCTTTTCGAAAGTGGCTCTAGCAGCAAAAGACAAGAGGAAAGCAAGGAAACCATGCCAAACGTCTTGGTTAACTCTTCAGTGAAAGGACGACAAATAACAGACAGACAGACACACGCAGGGAAATCACAGCAACTCTTTGCAGTGCAAACACCAACCCCACAGTCCATCCTTCCGGAAATCCTGCGGTTAATTTGAGGCTTGCCCCGCTAGTCATGAGGTGATTCAGTGATGGCCACAAACGCTCCTCATGTGCATCCTGGACCTGGCACACCTGGCTTGCCCATCGCCAGCCTGGAGACACCGCCAGGAGCAGAATCCCGGAGGCCAATAAAGACTCCAACTTTGCAAGCAGAGGGAACCGATTTCTGGACTCGAAGGTGGGGTCCGGGGTCAGTGTCCTCTACAGGATATAGGACGACGTGCCCCCGAAGCTGCTCCGTCCCTCCACCGCCTGCGATGCCACAGAACACCCGCCAGCGACTTTCTTCCCCAGCGCGCACCAGAGGTGGGCTGAGGGCGGCCGCAGCAGGGGAAGAATCGAGCTCAGGGAACTCAGGTCCCGGCCGTGCACCCACAACCCCTCGCCCAACAAAACTTGCCAGGCCGCGCCTCAACCCAGCTGTGCGCTCGCGGGTCCCAGATTCACCGACCGCCCAGCCGGGCGGGGCGCCCTCACCTCGGAAACGCTGGGCGGACTTCGCCATAACTTCCCATCCAGAGGGCAGCCGGCAGCCGCGCCGCCCGCCTCGGCCCAGCTCCTGGCGCAGCAGGTCGCCCGTACAGCGTTCCAAAAGCGCCATGCTCACTCAGAAGCTCAGGCAGCCTCGCGACCCTCACCTACCCCTCCCAGTACCGCCGCGGTCTCAACCGCCACCCAGACCCTCGCCGCCGCGCCTGCGCCCCACTGGCTCCTCAGGATCAGGCTTGGCCACGTCAGGAGAACCCAAGGCGCAGGCGCGGAGGAGCCTTAAAGGGACCCGGCAGTCTCTACTGCATAAAGGTTCGAGAGGAGGAGTAACCGAGGGAATGGACCGAGTGCCGCGGGGACAGGGTAATCCCTCTCTCCCCTCGCCTCTCTGTCAAAGCACCAGCCCACGACTCTGCAAGTCGCTGATTTCCCCAGCCGCTATGGAAAACAGTCAAGATGACAGCATCATCACTCATGAGACTGTTGTGACCACACAGGCAGAGCACTTGGCAGGGGGCCTGGCGTGCAGATCGTCTTCAACACATTATACTCACTGCACGTGTAAGTCTCTGGGAGGGGCACGTGGCTCTGCCATCCCGCGGCTTGCAGCTGGTTAAGGAGGCGGTGCTTCCAGGGAGAGGCCATCTGAAGACCGAACCTTGCAATGCGCCCCATTAGTGCCACAGGATGGCAAGGGAGATTGAGCATGGGCTGGGGGTTGGAGGGCTCTGGAGGGAGCTTGAAGCACGGATAGGACTTGGGGTGGTGTTATCCGGGGGAGGGGGCCAGAGAAGTCCAGCGGTGGAGACAGTATGTGTGGTGCATCCACGCAGTGGCTGGAGCATCCAGCGGCAGGACGGTGGACATTCCACCCTCTCTCCCTTCCCTCGTTCCTGCTCCACAAGGCCATGTCGTTCCTGCTCCACAAGGCCATGTTGTCCTCAGAGCTGAGGGAGAGCAAGTCCTGAGAGTCGGGGAGACCTAGGGAGGGCACAAACCCTGGCCTGACTGTGGCTACCCTGGACTTGATCATCATCTGTGCTGGGTAACAACCAAAAGAGCATAAGCAGAGTGGGGCATGAACGCTTCGCCCCGCGGATTACCCGGCTTTCCCCTACTCCTAGGGCCTCAGGCCAGGCTGCGACCGGGGAATGTGAGAGAAAAAGGAGCAAACTGCTTTCTGAGGCCAAGCACTGAATTCTCAGAGCCCGGGACAGGGTCTCTAACCAGGCATGACAGGGCCTCCCTGCAGTCTGTCAGCATCTGGGGTGTCAGGGCTACCAGGAAAAAGCCCAGCAGAGGCAGCTGCAGGAGCAAGGGGCAGGGGAACACGGAGACTGCTGGGGGTTTCTGAGCCTGCCCATGGCTGCCTGCTGGCCTCCTTGCCTGCAACAAGGCTGCAGGTGAGCAGAAAAGTGAGATTGACTGCCACTGGGTAGCTGCCCACCACGGGTCCGGCCCAAAGCCTCTCACACCCTAGGCAGCATTGGTGCAGCATCCTCAGCCTTGTCACTATTGATATCTTGGGTGGGACAAATCTCTTTCATGTCAGGTGGCGGGGGTGGGCCACCCGTGCATGGCAGAATGTTTAACAACATCTCTCACCTCTAACCCCGAAGCCTACCCCTTATAACAACCAAAATGTCTCCAAGTATTGCCAGATGTCCCCTGGGGTGATGGGGCAAAATATGCTGCTTAGGGTGTGAGAGGCTTTGGGCCGGACCTGTGGTGGGCAGCTGCCCAGTGGCAGTCAGTCTCACTTTTCTGCTCACCTGCAGCCTTGTTGCAGACAAGGAGGCCGGCACGCAGCCATGGCCAGGCTCAGGAGCCCCCAGCAGACATTCTCCGTGTTCCACTGCTCCTTGCTCCCGCAGCTGCCTCTGCTGGGCTTTCTCCTGGTAGCCCTGACACCCCAGATGCTGACAGTGCTTAAGAACCACTGGATTCAGGAAAGGAGAGGTAAAGTCTTCTTTTCAAAGTAGAAAATAATTCATGGTCTTTCATTCATTCCACAAATATTAGGCAATTGTGTTTTGCTAGGCTCTGAGGACATAGCGTTCACAGTCTGGTGTTCATCTGCAGCAGACCAGGCACCCAAATGTACCTAGATGTTTATTTCCTTTCATTCTTGCTCCAAATCTATTCATTATCCTCCTAAATGGGAAATGAGACCCTTAGGAAGCAGCATGCATCTCCTCCTGGAAGTCTTCCCAACCCCAGGGTGGGGCCAAAGGCCCTTGGGACCCTCCACTCAAACACCTGTTCTAAGAGCTTCCCTCAAGACCGGATGAGAGAGGGTACTACATGCAAGGCCAACATGCCAATGAAGTACCCTGTGCTGTTCATTAAAACCTGAAAATGGAGGTTGGGAATTTAACAATCCAAGTGCAAAGAAGAGAGGTTTTGGGGACATTTTTAATACATCTATAATCTTTCATTAACAGCTAGAAATTTAGATTGCTGTGTAGCCCAGAAGCTGTGTCTAGCTCCACTCTCTTTGCGAGACCCTGAATCTTCATTCTAATTCCCCCTCCCAAAATCTCTTCCTGCAGAGCACCGAAACCTATTCTAACTCTCCCCCCCCCCACCTTAACTTTGCTGCCTAGATAAGCCTTTAGCCTCATATGGAAATGTAACTTCTAAGAACTCAACTGCGTAGGCTCGGGGCTGCAGGGTGGGGAAAATAAGAGCCATCTCTGTATTAGCTTCCCTCACAGCAGCTGTGACTCCTGTCCAAACTAGACGTTGGCCTCCACTGTCCTTCTGCAGGGAAGCCACAGCTGGAATACAAAGAGGAATGAAAGAGGAAATCCCCAGGCCCTGCACTTCCAAGGGCTCACATCGAGATCTGGCAGCAAGTTCAGAGTGATTTTTAGTATGCAATTTTTTTTTTTTACCTATGTAGACCTTAGAAGCTAAACCCACCCACATCTTGCCACAAGGCTCTTCAGATCTCAGGCACTCAGCAAGGTGCCCAGCACATCATAGGTGCTCTGCAAAGGTTCATGGAATGAAATGAGCTGAAGCTGATACTATTGCTTTGTTACTTCTGTGATCATTCTAATTTCATAGAGAAAGCGCAGTGCACCATGATCCACACTGAATGGCTCCCTGCCTAAGGGAAGCTATTGTTTGCAAAACGTCCTCAGCCAGGAAGCACAGCTCAGGTGGCAGCAGCTTCCCAAACTGCAAGTGCAGCACCAGAAGGCTTACAAAAACGCTCCTGGCATGGCCGGACAAGGACCCGATCACACAAACTCTGACGAGGTCAAGTGTCTCTCCAAGTCCCCACCGGGCAGCAGCGCCTGCAAAGCAACCCGTCACCCTCCAGAGGAGGCTCATGGGAGCCCATCAGCCCTGTCGGGACCTTGGGACCCTCCACTCAAACACCTGTTCTAAGAGCTTCCCTCAAGACCGGATGAGAGAGGGTACTACATGCAAGGCCAACATGCCAATGAAGTACCCTGTGCTGTTCATTAAAACCTGAAAATGGAGGTTGGGAATTTAACAATCCAAGTGCAAAGAAGAGAGGTTTTGGGGACATTTTTAATACATCTATAATCTTTCATTAACAGCTAGAAATTTAGATTGCTGTACCTAAGCGATAGACAATGAAACAGAAAAGGCATTTCTGCAAGCCTCTCAGCTGTCAGCTCTGTGAGCAGCTGGGAGGGTCACTCTGTGGTCATCTGTCACACTGGAGAAGGGCTGTTGAGCCAGGGGCACCTTAGGAGGCCAGGGTGCAGCACCAGAAGCACGGGCCCTGGCTCACCAGGGCTAGAAGCAGCAGCCAGCCCCAAACAGGCAGGAGGGTTTACAAAAGGACAAGAAATTGATGGAATCACCCAAGTCTGCAAAGCCCTGCTCCTCCCTCCAGCTTCCCCATCCCCACTCCTGGATGGGCAAGGGCGGGGGGCAGGGACTAGAGGGGCTAATGGAGCAAGTAATGGAGTGACCTTCTGGGGTGAACACCAATATTATGTCCCCTCCTACAGACAAGGGAACAAGCTCAGCAGGGTTGAGTCACTTGCTCCTGAGACACAGTCCCCTGCGTCGCTGGTGGTTCTGCTCATCTTGGATATAGCCGTTTATAGTGTTTGCTCCAGACTATCTTTCCAAGAATGTTTGAATAGTGAACAACTTGGAAGATAGAGGCTGTCTCCCTCCAGGGCGGAGGCAGGCTTGTTTCGACTCCAGTGTAATAAAGATAATGTCCCCCTCAAGGGCAAAGGCCAGGCAGGTGTGCTTGTAGTCCACTCAGCAAGACAGGGTTCCTCAGATGGGGTCCTTGGCTGGGACACAGGCCCCCTACATATGCAGCATCCACCTGGGCCTCTCACTATCACAGCCATGAGGTTTAGAGGCAGAGGGGACCCATGAGGACCATGAAGCTTGGGCTGCCTGCTGGGTGGCAAGTAACAACAGCTGTCTCTGCCCCGGGAATTTCATGTCTTCTGCCAGCATCCAGGGAAGGGTAGCAGGCTCACCTCTTAGCTTCAAAATATGGTGAAATCACAGACAGTCCATAATTATTGGTGCTTGCCCAAGCCCACACAGTCACAGTGGCAGGCTAGGATTCGATCTCAACAGACTCCAGCACCACGTTTCCCAGGCTGTGATCCAGGGACCATCTGCATCAGAGGGAACTGCTGGGCTCCTCCACTGACCCACAGAATCACATCTCCAGAGAGAGATATGGGGGTCTACGCTCCCATCAAGTCCCCATATCAGCCCACAAGCATCCCCAAGTCTGAAAGGCTCGCCCTCCATGGCGACGCCCCATTCTCTAGTGTGCACAGGTCACGGACATCTGGACTTGTAGAGCTCCTGGCCAGCCTAGGGGGTTGGTGAATTATGGAGGACAGACAGAGAGTCAAGAAAAGACGGCAGGTCAGCACAGGCCCACACTGCTTAAAGTGTGGCGTTCCCTGGGCCCAGACTCTAGAACTGCTACGTGGGGCCCTGGGTCACCCAATCCTGGGCCCCTCCTGGTAGCAGGGACAGTGGCGACTTGTCTGTTTTGTTTGCTGCTAGGCCACCCTCCCCCCTCCCAGTGCCTAGAATAGCACCTGGCACATAGGAGGGACTCAAAAGTTACTGAAGAAAGGGACAGGAGGAGAAGGGAAAGATGGAGGCAGGGAGAGAGGGGGCAAGGAGAAGAAAGGGGGTCAAGACAAGGTGCCCTTGAGGGCTGAAACTGGGATGCTGCATCCAGGTCCCAGAGTCTGGAAAGCTCAGCAATAAGTGCAGCCTGCCGGCCAGAGACTCACTCAGAAGCCCCAATGCCAGATCAGGCCTGTACCATGCACCTACCCAGCAAAAACATGCTGAATGAATGAATGAGTGAGTGAGTGACACTTCCCAGTGACATCCTGTACCTGGACTTGCAGGTGCAGGTACCAGATGGTGCAGAGGCTGTAGCCGGCTGCTGTCCCCAAGGCTGTGGGTGTCACTGTGCAGAAAGGACACGCATATAAAATGTGTGTAGCTCTTAACTGCACCCAATGAGTGAGGAAACAGGCTCAGGACCCCAAGGAATCTCACCCCAGAGCAAACTGCTGGAAAGTGGGGGAGGCAGGAAGCTGCCAGGAGCTCTCCAGACTCCAAATCCAGTGCTCTTTTCCCTGAGGCTGATGGCAAGGGCACAACCCACCCCACAGTGCCCCTCAAAGAGCCAGGGCCCCCGGATGCCTCCAATCTATGACATCTCAGTGGCCCACCCCGACCAGAAGAGGGTCCGGACGGTTGGCCTGCCTGCTGCTGAACAAATGGGGTCGCCAGCAGCCACCTCAAGGTGCACCATTAAGTTGCAGAGGCTGCAGCTCAGGCCGAATGTCACTTTATGAAGCTTTCCCGCTGGCATTAAAGGTTTGCCATGTCCAATCTCACTCATGCCACCAGCACCCCGCTCAGCATGTGTGCTGAATCATTAAAGGGAGAACGTTTCTGAGAAGAACCGCTGTGGCCTTCTCCAGGAAAACAGCCTCTCAGAAGCCAGGGCCAGGGGCAAAGCCTCTGACAGAGAGGCCAATGGGACCCAAGGGTCCAGGTCCCCGCCTCTCCTTGCCCAGTGGCCTTTTCTGAGCAGCCTGGGGCTGGCTGTCGGTGTTGAAGGCAACTAGCTCTGTGTCTTCCCGGCTGGCATCTGCTCTGCTAAAAATACAGCTGTTTGTCTAGGGATTGTGTTTTCCTTGGAAAGATTTTTTGATGTTTGCTTTGGGGTTTTGGAAAGAGAAAGACTGGGTTTTTGTTTGGATTCAGGGAATACACATGCAGGTTTTTTACATGAGTATATTGCGTGATGCTGAGGTTTGGCCTTCTAATGATCCCACCACCCAGGTGGTGAGCATAGAACCTGATAGGTAGTTTTTCAGCCCTTGCCCCCTTCCCTCCCCTGTCTAGTAACCCCCCAGTGTCTGTGTATACCCACTGTTTAGCTCCCCATTATGGGTGGGCACATGTGTTTGGTTTTGTGTTTCTGCATTAATTAGCTTAGGATAATGGATTCCAGATGCATTCATGTTGCTGCAAAGGCCACAATTCCATGGTGTATATGTACCCCATATTCTTTATCCAGTACACCACTGATGGGCACTTGGATTGATTCTATGTCTTTTCTATTGTGAATAGTGGTTCAGTAAACATTTGAGTGCGAGTATCTTTTTGGTAGGACATTTATTTTCTTTTGGGTATATACCCAGTGATGGGATTGCTGGGTCCAATGATAATTCTGTTTTTTGTTCTTTGAGAAATCTCCAAACTGCTTTCCACAGGGGCTGATCTCATTTGCATTCCCACTAACAATGGATAAGCATTTTCTTTTCTCCAAAGCCTCAACAACATCTGTTATTTTTTTACTTTTTAATAACTGCCATTCTGACTGGCTTGAGATGCTGTCTCATTGTGGTTTTGATTTGCACGTCTCTAATGATTAGTGATGTTGAGCATTTTCTCATGCGTTTGTTGGCCAACTTTATGTCTTCTTTTGAGAAGTGTCTGTTCATGTCCTTTGCCCACTTTTCAATGGGATTATTTGGTTTTTTTGCTTGCTGAATTGTTTAAGTTCCTTATAGATTCTGGAAATCAGACCTTTGTCAGATGCAGTTTGCAAATATTTTCTCCCCTTCTGCAGGTTGTCTGTTTACTCTGTTGATATTTTAATAGTTTTTTTCACTGTGCAGAAGTCCCATTTGTCTATTTTTTATTTTGTCGCATTTGCTTTTGGGTTCTTCGTCACAAATTCTGAAAGACATTCTTTTGAAAACAAACTCTTCAGGCATGCCAGTGGCAACTGTGCCCCTGAAGGGGTGGTGGCCCATGCACAGCTTCTGTCTCCCATCAGTCCATGCGCAGCTTCTGTCTCCCATCAGTCCATGCACAGCTTCTGTCTCCCATCAGTCTGGTCCTCCAGTAGCAGTGAGAGTCTCCTCAGTTCTTGTCTGTTCCATCAGGCCAGCCCACCATCTGGGCCCCAAACTCTAGTTTGCAGCCCTGGTTGGGATGTCCGTGCTCTGGGCTGAAGACCACAGTGGACCTCTGCACAGACGTGCCTCCCCCACCAGCAGTGCGCCTGCTGCTCTGGAGCCCCTGAGATTCACAGGAAAGCCAGGTGTAAGGTTTGGTAAAAATGAATTCCAGCACCCTCGCTCATGCCTGTGGGGTGACCTGTGCCTTCTCCATGATTTCTGCAACCCCTGGGGCCTCTGCCATCCTACTCCCTTCTGCTCCGGGTCTGGCATCTGCTGAGCTCTCTTGACTCACTGTCTCTCACTCAGCTGTCTCTTCTCTTGTCTCTGCGATGAAGCTTCTACCATTCTCAGCCCCCACTCCCAACACCTCCCTACATACTCTGCCTGCCTCAGACCTGAAAAACGTTTCTTCAGGGGGATTTTATAGTCAGAATGGCAGAGTAGAGGAAGGCAGGTGGGAATATTGGCAGTCCTTTGGCCACCCAGCCACTTCTCAAAGGCGGTGCTTTCTGGAAGGTTCTCCAATTAGAAGCACCCACCAATCAGAAAAGTTAAATCAAGGAAGTTCCTGAAACAAAGAAGGACTCAGTGCTTTAGTTCTGGATGCCCAAGTAGCAGGCACCAGTAGAAGGACCTTCACACCAGCTCCTGAGCCTGCATTCCTGTGTCAGCAAAACACCATCCTAGTGTCAGCATCAAATCCTGTAACCGACTATGAGTCTCTGGGCCGGGCTCTGTGCACACAGGACCCCTGAGACGTCACTCCACCTTTGGATGTGAAATGCCCAGGGTTCAGCCCTCTGCAAACTGGAGAATGCCAGGCAGACCATGGGAGGTAAGATGCTTGCCCCAAAACTCCCTGGGCTGAACGAGGACCCCTAACCCTCTGGTCTGTTTTGGGCCTTTAGGAAACATCCCAGAAAGGTCAGCTCACACAAGGGACCCCCAGGGACATCAGAGTACATGACAGACCAGGTGCTACCTGGAACTGAGGAGGCCAATGAAGGCAGGCAGGTGTCCTTCCATCACCCACGCTTTCCCTCCCCTCACTCAGCGAACTGTCTTGGAGGGTATTTCCATGGACACTCAGTGGGCAGGAGCCTCGGGTGCCTCTGGTGGGGTAGCCACAGCCCTTACGGGCAAGGCCCTGCCGTAGCTGACCCCTCCATCCCCAGGCACCCACCCCGCCTTCTCTAATGAGTCCATGGCCCCCTATCTCCTGCACCTTAAGGGACCTGGAACCTTAACGGGCCCCACACAGCCTCCCCTGTCTCTGCGAACCTGCCACTGAAGGCCTCTGCCAGGGCTGCTTCCTCCCACAGGCCAGAGTAATTTACCTGAATCATTTTCGGTGGCATAAAGGTGGTGGAACGTTTGCAATCCTGAGCAGCCCCCTTGGGAACCACTGCCACTCTGCAGCATTCCCAGGGAGCCCCCAGCCCTTACCCAGGCTCAGGGGGTGGGGGGAACCATCTCCCTGCAGCCAAATCCCACTTCGCATTGCTCTCCAATTAAGATAATTATAGATTCAAGTGCAGTTGTAAAGAGATCCATGGACCCTTTACGCTGGGCCTCCTGCCAGGCCTGCTCCAGCTCCTACTCCCGCCCGCCCAGCTGCCGGGAGAGCTGGCCCCCACCCAGAGACTGAGCAGCACTCCCAGCATCCCCCAGCTTGTTCATCATGCAGCACCCCAACTTCAGGCCTAACCCAGTCCTGGCAGAAGGCCTGGGTTCAAGCCCAGGGTCTGCCCTCATGTGCTATATGTACTTGGGCAAGTCATGACCTTCTCTAGATCTGCAGTGCATGTCTGTACAAAAACGAGGGCCCGGCCGGGTACGGTGGCGCATGCCTATAATCCCAGCACTCAGGTGGATCACTTGAGGTCAGGAGTTCAAGACCAGCCTGGCCAATGTGGTGAAACCCTGTCTCTGCTAAAAATGCAAAAATTAGCCAGACATGGTGGTGCACGCCTGTAGTCCCCACTACTTGGGACACTGAGGCAGGAGAACAGCTTAAACCATGGAGGCAGAGGTTGTAGTGAGCCCAGATCGTGCCACTGCACTCCAGCCTGGACAACAGAGCAAGACTCTGTTTCAAAAAAAAAAAAACACACACATACCCTGCAGGGCGGCTTTGTCTTCCTCCAGCTATGGGCCCGGTACGAATGGGGCCTCATAAGCAGGGCATTCCTCCCAGGACCAGGAGGCCTCATCCACCCACCCACCAGCCACAATATCCCAGGGGAGGCTCCCAGGGAATGAGGGGCAGTGCCCTTGGGTGTGTGGGACACTGGGGAGGGGGAGATGAGGGCCCATGGAGCTTCTGTGCTCCGACACCGAGAGAGGATAGACAGACAGACGGAGACAGACAGAGAACCAGAGACAGAAAGGGAGGCACGGGTCAAGACAGGTACAGGGCTGGGCCCGGGGTGCCTCACTGACACTGGGCAAGGCAGTGGGCCCGCAGGTGCACAGCGTACCTGGGCAACAAGGCGGTTCAGATCCAGCTTGTCCTGAGCAAGGCTCTCGTTAAGGGCGCTCAGCTTGGACAGGGAGTCCTGCAGGGAGGCCTCCTCTGCCCTCAGCTTGGTCATGGAGAGCTCGAGCTCCACGAGGCCAGCCTCAGCCTGCAGAGTCAGGCCCTCAGAGATGAGGAAAGGCAGAAAGGTTGGGAGGAGGTGTGGAGAGACAAGAAGAGACCCAGAGAGATGGACCCTCGGAGACAGGGGGAGATGGACTCCGAAGACAGGGGAGGGAGACAAGGAGGACATAGCGTGAGTTGGAAAAAAAAATCACCACAGAAAGCTCAGCTTGCTTATGGAGCTATTTAAAAGCCATACCAGAGCTGTGCAAAAATAGCTTAAGCTGCAGGCAGGGCCAGAGTTCAGAGGATCCTGACTACGTCTAGGGATAGCACTGCTCAGAGCCCAGGCTTAGAGGCTCACTTTTCTGCTCACCTGCAGCCTTGTTGCAGACAAGGAGGCCGGCACGCAGCCATGGCCAGGCTCAGGAGCCCCCAGCAGACATTCTCCGTGTTCCACTGCTCCTTGCTCCCGCAGCTGCCTCTGCTGGGCTTTCTCCTGGTAGCCCTGACACCCCAGATGCTGACAGTGCTTAAGAACCACTGGATTCAGGAAAGGAGAGGTAAAGTCTTCTTTTCAAAGTAGAAAATAATTCATGGTCTTTCATTCATTCCACAAATATTAGGCAATTGTGTTTTGCTAGGCTCTGAGGACATAGCGTTCACAGTCTGGTGTTCATCTGCAGCAGACCAGGCACCCAAATGTACCTAGATGTTTATTTCCTTTCATTCTTGCTCCAAATCTATTCATTATCCTCCTAAATGGGAAATGAGACCCTTAGGAAGCAGCATGCATCTCCTCCTGGAAGTCTTCCCAACCCCAGGGTGGGGCCAAAGGCCTCTCTGTGTAGCCCAGAAGCTGTGTCTAGCTCCACTCTTTGCGAGACCCTGAATCTTCATTCTAATTCCCCCTCCCAAAATCTCTTCCTGCAGAGCACCGAAACCTATTCTAACTCTCCCCCCTCCCCCCTTAACTTTGCTGCCTAGATAAGCCTTTAGCCTCATATGGAAATGTAACTTCTAAGAACTCAACTGCGTAGGCTCGGGGCTGCAGGGTGGGGAAAATAAGAGCCATCTCTGTATTAGCTTCCCTCACAGCAGCTGTGACTCCTGTCCAAACTAGACGTTGGCCTCCACTGTCCTTCTGCAGGGAAGCCACAGCTGGAATACAAAGAGGAATGAAAGAGGAAATCCCCAGGCCCTGCACTTCCAAGGGCCCACATCGAGATCTGAACAAGGCCAGCTCCCCCGCCAAGGACTCTCTGGGCTGTGGCCCCAACTCTCAGACCCCAAGGCTGGTCTCAGGCACTGGATGACCCTGAGCTTTAGGCACTGCCCCCAGGAGCATCCAGAAGAGCAGGGATGCCAATATCAAGAGAGGTCAGTCCACTTATGGCTGGGACCAGAGGTCCAGAGGTCTGTGGCCTGCGACAAGATCAGCCCTGTATCCAGAAGGAAGGGTCAGTCTGTTGACCAGGCTCAGAGGTCTGCCTGACACTGGGACCAGTCCATACCAGAGCGAGACGATCTTGGGCTGAGGTCAGAGGCGGTTTGTGGTTGTGCAGCAGGCAGGGACCCTGTAGTCAGCGCCTCGGCCACCTCGGCCTTCTCAGCCTGCAGCATGTCCTGCTGCAGCGTGGCGGCTCAGCGCTCCTCACCTCCACCAGCTCCTTGGCCAGGACTGAGCGCTCCTCCAGCTGCTCTGGTTGTCTGTAGCGCTGCGGGACAGAGAGGGCGGGTGGCCCACATCACTTTCCTGCCCTGAACCTCCTGTAGCCAGCGAGATGCTGGGCCAGGGACCAGGCCTGAGGCAGGAGTTTGGAGAGAAACAGCCTGGCCCACAGGCCAACCAAAACCCACTACACTTAGCTGCATGACCCTGGGCCTCTGTTTTCACATCTGCAAAACGAGGTAACGCACCTCGTGACATTTGTGTTTTTGAGACAGAGTCTCGCTCTGTCACAGGCTAGAGTACAGTGTTGCAATCTCGGCTCACTGCAACCTCTGCCTCCCGGGCTCAAGCAATTCTCCTGCCTCAGCCTCCTGAGTAGCTGGGATTATAGGTGCCCGCCACCATGTCTGGCTAATTTTGTAGTTTTAGTAGAGATAGGGGTTCCCCCATGTTGGATTATAGGCTGGTCTCAACTCCTGACCTCAGAGTGATTCCCCTGCCTTGGCCTCCCAAAGTGCCAGGATTACAGATGTGAGCCACCATGCCCGGCCTGTTCTAAGGATACAGACTTCACATGTGCTTAAAATGGTGCCTGATACATCTCCCCAAGGGCCTTCAGAAACAAGAATAACATGCACCACCACAGTCTACTAAACATCTCATCATCGATCCGTGTCCCAGAGAGGTAAGCAGCACAGTGAGGAAGAGGTTAACTCTGAAGGCAGAATGCCTGGGTTCAAATCCTGGCTCTTCTGCTAACTAGCTGTGTGACCTGGGGCAAAGACATACCTTCTCTGTGCCTCAGTTTACCATCCACAAAATGGGTAACCTTCTGACACAGAGTTATGTAGAGTTGAATGAGAACAGATTGCTTCCAAAACAGTATCTGGCTCTTGATGAAATTAATGAGGATATTGTTATGATCATAACTAAATTTTAAAAATACTATTGTTAATATTACTGTTGTTTTAATTATTGTTATTATCATCCAAGTTCTACCTTTTAACTAGTTCTCTGATCCCAGGTAAGTGACAACACCTCCTGAGCCCCAATTTCCCTGAAATGAGACTGGTTGAAAACCCGGCATCAGAGGGAGTCCAGATGGTAGGAGGCCCAGGACCCAGTGGGTGCTCCCCTAACCCCGCCAGTGGGTGCTCCCTAACCCCCGGGGGCACTGTCAGGGGATCTGAGGCACATCTGAAGGGCCCTGGCAGGCAGGCGAGATGCTGCTCACCTGCGCTCAAGCTCCCGGCGCACCCGCGCACCATCCTGCACCGCGTCCTCCTGCTCTTCCTCCAGCTGGTCCCGCTGGCGCCGCAGCTCCTCCTGGGCAGCCTGCAGCTTCTCCCGCTTCTGGCTTCTGCCGTAGCTCCTGCAGGCTGTGAGCCAGGTTGCTCTTCTCCCTTCAGGACAAGGGGAGGAGAGGGGAGCAGAGGGGATGCTGGGGCTGCTCTCTCCAGGGAAGGTGGCTGGCTGCTCCTCTAGCCATGAACTACATCCTCCCATCTTCCAAGGCACCTGCCTCCAGGAAGCCTTCCCTGACCACCCTGCCCATGGCTGACTCATTTCACTCACACCCTCCAGCAGAATAACCTGGCTTTCCTTCTCCCCAGCCCGCCCACTTGGAGTGGATGGAGGTGCTGGCATTATCTCCAAGCACCCTACCAGGTAGGCAAGGCTAGGCTCCTGGGACACGCAGGCAATTGTGCCACCAGCTCTGCTAGGCCATGTGACCAGGAAATGCCCCCTATAACACGCCATGCCCCTCAATTCTGGGAAGCCTGATAGAGCTGAGTCTGCAGATCCCACAGCTTCCTGCTACATAGGCACATGGTGGCCACAGCAGGGGAGGGAGGAGAAGGCAACAACTGGGACCCCAAAGACTTGCTGTGAGCTGCCACTTTCCTCACTGGCAGTAGGTGCAAAAAAACTTCACGACATGATTTTTTTTTTTTTTTTTCCCTGAGACGGAGTCTCACTCTGTCACCCAGGCTAGAGTGCAGTGGCATGATCTCCCCTCATTGCAAGCTCCGCCTCCCAGGTTCACGCCATTCTCCTGCCTCAGTCTCCTGAGTAGCTGGGACTACAGTCACCTGCCACCACACCCAGCTAATTTTTTGTATTTTTGGTAGAGACGGGGTTTCACCGTGTTAGCCAGCATGGTCTCGATCTGACCTTGTGATCCGCCTGCCTCCCAAAGTGCTGGGATTACAGGTGCAAGGCACCACGTCCAGCAATTTTTTTTTTTTTAGACAGAGTCTCACTCAGTTTCCCAGGCTGGAGTGCAGTGACACAATCTCAGCTTGCTGCAACGTCCACCTCCAGACTTCAAGCGATTCTCCTGCCTCAGCCTCCCAAGTAGCTGGGATTATAGGCGCCTATCACCACGCCCAGCTAATTTTTGTATTTTTACTTAGAAGCGGGGTTTCACCATGTTGACCAGGCTGGTCTCAAAGTCCTGACCTGAGGTGATCTGCCCGCCTCAGCCTCTCAAAGTGCTGGGAAGACAGGCATGAGTCACTATACCCGGCCCTAATTTTTTTATTTTTTTATTTTTTACTTTTATTTTTATTTATATATTTTTTGACACAGACTTTCACTCTTGTTGCCCAGGCTGGAGTGCAATGGTGTGATCTCAGTTCACCACAAACTCTGCCTCCCGGGTTCAAGCGATTCTCCTGACTCAGCCTCCCAAGTAGCTGGGATTACAGGCATGTGCCACCACTGATGACTAATTTTGTATTTTTAGTAGACACAGGGTTTCTCCATGTTGGTCAGGCTGGTCTCAAACTCCTGATCTCAGGTGGTCTTCCTGCCTTGGCCTCCCAAAGTGCTGAGATTACAGGCGTGAGCCATTACGCCTGGCCAATTTTTTTTATTTTTTATAGCGATGGGGTTTCACCATGTTGGCCAGGATGGTCTCAAACTCTTGACCTCCAGTGATCCATTTGCCTTGGCCTCCCAAAATGCTGGGATTACAGGTGTGAGCCACCATGCCCAGTCGACAACGTGCTGTTAAGTAAAACACACCCAGCCTGAATTTTCCCTTTTTAAAACTTTTAATTAAAATTTAATACAGCCAGGGACAGTGGCTTATGCCTGTAATCCCAGTAATTTGGGAGGCTGAGGTGGGAGGAGTGTTTGGAACTAGGAGTTCAAGACCAGCGTGGGCAACACAGTGAGACCCCCATCTCTACATTTCACAGAATGTGATATGGGATGCTTGCTGTGAACACAACTACTTAAAAAGACCTTCTCCTTTCCAGGCATGGAAAGCCTCAGTTTACTCTCACATGGACCTGAATTCCAGTTCCCACCCTGCCACCCCCAGCCACACACACTGTGTACGAGGTCTGAGCCCGAGTCTCAGCACAGCAGAGGTTCACAGTTGCATGAGTTTGACAGGAAGATAAATGACAGAGTACATAAAAAACCTCGGCCAAAAAGAACCCGGCACATTTGATGAGTGTGGAGGAAACATTTGCTATCTCACTGCCAGGAAACACGATGGGAAGGAAAACCAGTGCCCTAAATGAGTCAGGATGGCCAGATGAGGCTGTGAGAAGGCGCTGTCTTTTATTCTATTTTCAAACTTTTCATAAAAGATCGTTACATTTATGAAGAGAAAAGCAAACAACAAAATATCAAAAACAACATGGCAGCTAAGTGGATAATTTATTTAATGGCAAAATCTTCAAAGTACCAAGAAACGGTGACTCATGCCTGTAATCCAGCACTTTGGGAGGCCGAGTGGGCCAAATCACCTGAGGTCAGGAGTTCGACACCAGCCTAGCCAACATGGTGGAACCCCATCTCTACTAAAAATATAAACGTAGCCAGGCATGGTGGCGGGCACCTGTAATCCCAGCTACCAGGGAGGCTGAGGCAAGAAAATTACTTGAACAGGAGGTGGAGGTTGCAGTGTGCAATATCATGCCACTTGGGCAACAAGAGTTGAGGAAAAAAAAAAAAGAAGTGGATAATTCCTTGTCTCAAACATCTTCGGCTAGGTGCGGTGGCTCATGCCTGTAATCACAGCACTTTGGAAGGCAGAGGTGGGTGGATCACGAGGTGAGGAGATCGAAACCAACCCGGCTGACACGGTGAAACCCCATCTCTATTAAAAATACAAAAAAAAATTAGCAGGGTGTTCTGGTAGGCGCCTGTAGTCCCAGCTACTCAGAGGCTGAGTCAGAGAATGGGGGTGAACCTGGGAGGTGGAGCTTGCAGTCAACCGAATCGCACCACTGCACAGCAGCCTGGCCCGACACAGCGATACTCCGTCTCAAAAAAAAAAATCTTCAAGGTTCTGGTGTGATGGCTCACCTATAATTCAGTACTTTGGGAGGCCGAGATGGGTGGATCATTTGAGCTCAGGAATTAGAGATCAGCCTGGGCAACATGGTGAAACCCCATCTCTACAAGAAACAGAAAAATTAGCCAGGCGTGGTGGTGTGTACCTGCAGTCCCAGCTACTCAGGAGGCTGAGGTGGGAGGATCACTTAAGCCTAGGAGGTGGAAAGTTGCAGTGAACTGAGATCACACCACCACTGCACTCCAGCCTGGGTGACAGAACAAGACTCTGTCTCAAATTAAAAGAAAAAAAAATCTTCAAGGCTAGGCATGGTGGCTTATGCCTGTAATCTCAGCATTTTGGGAGGCTGAGGCAGAGTACTTGAGGCCAGGAGTTTGAGACCATCCTGAAGCAACACAGCAAGACCCCATCTCTAAAAAAAAAAAAAAGAAAAAGAAATACAGTCCAGAATAGATGCTGTCAATAGAACTCTCTGAGATGACAGAATGTTCTATGGCCGTGTATAGTTGGCAAAATTAGCAGAAATGTGAAACCTGCAAGCTGTGGGCCAGGTTGCTCTTCTCCCTTCAGGACAAGGGGAGGGGAGCAGAGGGGATGCTGGGGCTGCTCTCTCCAGGGAAGGTGGCTGGCTGCTCCCCTAGCCGCGAAAACTTCCCATCCTTCCGTCTTCCAAGGCACCTGCCTCCAGGAAGCCTTCCCTGACCACCCTGCCCATGGCTGACTCATTTCCTCACACCCTCTGGCAGAGAACCTGGCTTTCCTTCTCCCCAGCGCGTCCACACTTGGAGTGGATGGAGGTGCTGACATTATCTCCAAGCACCCTGCCAGGTAGAAGAGGCCAGGCTAGGCTGCTGAGACACATAGACAACTGTGCCACCAGCTCTGCTAGGCCATGTGACCACGAAATGCCTCTTATAACACCCCATGCCCCTCCATTCTGGGAAGCCCAATAGAGCTGAGTCTGCAGATCCCACAGCTTCCTGCTACATAGGCACATGGTGGCCACAGCAGGGGCGGGAGGAGAAGGCAGCAACTGGGACCCCAAAGACTTGTAGCAGGCATGCCACTTTCCTCACCTGGCAGTAGGTGCTAAAAACTTCACAATGTGATTTTTGTTTTCTTGTTTTTTTTTTTTTTTTTTTAGACAGAGTCTCGCTCTGTCACCCAGGCTGGAGTGCAGTGGCGATCTTGGCTCACTACAACCTCCGCCTCCCAGGTTCACACCATTCTCCTGCCTCAGCCTGCCCAGTAGCTGGGACTATGAGCACCTGCCACCACGCCACCAATAATTTTTTTGTATTAGTAGAGATGGGGTTTCACCATGTTAGCCAGAATGGTCTTGATCTCCTGACCTCGTCATCTGGCCGCCTCGGCCTCCCCAAAGTGCTGGGGTTACAAGTGTGACTACCACATCCCAGCAATTTTTTTTTTTTTAGATGGAGTCTCACTCTGTCGCCCAGGTTGGAGTGCAGTGACACAATCTCGGCTTGCTGCAACCTCCCACCTCAGACTTCAAGCGATTCTCCTGCCTCAGCCTCCCAAGTAGCTGGGATTATAGGCGCCCTATCACCACACCCAACTAATTTTTTTTGCATTTTTAATTAGAGCGGGGTTTCACCATGTTGGCCAGGCTGGTTTCAAACTCCTGACCTCAAGTGATCTGCCTGCCTCAGCCTCCCAAATTGCTGAGGCTACAGGCGTGAGCCACCACGCCCAGCCCTAATTTTTTATTTTTTATATTTACTTTTATTTTTATTTGTTATTTTTTTGACACAGACTTTCACTCTTGTTGCCCAGGCTGGAGTGCAATGGCGTGATCTCGGTTCACCACAAACTCTGCCTCCCGGGTTCAAGCAATTCTCCTGCCTCAGCCTCCCAAGTAACTGGGATTATAGGCATGTGCCACCACGGATGGCTAATTTTGTATTTTTAGTAACCACAGGGTTTCTCCATGTTGGTCAGGCTAGTCTTGAACTCCCAACCTCAGCTGGTCCTCCCACCTCGGTCTCCCAAAGTTCTGGGATTACAGGCGTGAGCCACTGTGCCCGGCCAATTTTTTTTATTTTTAGTAGAGATGGGGTTTTGCCA